CTCATGTAATAATGCAAAGACTTCTACCAATTGCACTAAAAGAGATGCTCCCTGAACACGTATGGTCCTGCATTACTGAAATCAGTTTGTTGTTTCAATCGATATGTTCCAGCGTTTTGGATGCGGCATCCCTCCGGAGACTACAAGAGTCTGTTCCCATTCTGATGTGTAATCTGGAAAAAATAATGCCACCATCGTTTTTCGATACAATGGAACATCTCATAATACATCTTCCGTATGAGGCTTTGACTGCTGGGCCCGTCTTCTATCGGTGGATGTACAGATTTGAAAGGTTAGTCACAATTTCATTTAAAAAAAGAGTATTTATTTCACAATAACTATTAACATGTGTATTATTGCATTATTGCAGATTTCTAGGAGAGCTGAAAAAGAAAGTGACCAACAAGGCACACGTTGAGGCTTCAATTTGTCAAGCGTATCTTCAACAAGAAATCTCAACGTTCTCGTCTTTTTACTTCGAGCGTGACGTCATCACCAGAAGGAAGAGACCTGCCCGGAACGATGACATTGGCGAGGATTTATATGAAAATGTAGTTTCCATCTTCAATTACCCAGGCAGAGGTAAAGGTGCTGCGACACAACGATACATCCTGGGTGGGGAATTGCAAATTGCACATACTTATATCCTCATGAATTGTCCAGAAATTTCACCGTTTTATCAGTAAGTTAAATTTGTAGTTATAATTGTAATACTTATCAATTAAATTTGTAGATAATTTATAATTTTTTTATTTTTGAATTCACAGTGAATTCAGAGCTTCTTTATCAGCCTTTCCTGAGAATCAAATTGATGCATTGGTAGACTCTGATTTTGTAAATTGGTACAAGTATCAGGTATATATATACACACACATTAATTATATATATATTATTAAGTAAGATTTTTCAATATTTACCTAATGTTATTATCATGTTTATATTTACAGATCAATAGTCGTGGGATTGAGGACCCTTTGTTAGTGTCATTAGCGTGGGGCCCTAGTGCCAGTGCCAAAGTGTGGCGGCAATATGTGATAAACGGTTACACATATCACACAGCCGATTACGGAGAGGGCCGACCAACAACGAACAGCGGGTTATGTGTCCCGACCATCGGTTATGATAACTCGGAAACCAATTTTTTTGGTGTCCTGCAGGAGATTCTGGAACTTGAGATGCCTTCTGGTGCGAAAAAATTGACATGCGTTCTGTTCCGTTGCACATGGGTCGACCCCACACGTGGCGTGCGCAAAAATCCGAAGTATAATATGATTGACGTCAACCAGTCTCGTGTGTACCCGAAAAATGAGCCTTTCATACTCGCCCAACAAGCAGCGCAGATTTATTATGCAGAATATCCTTCAACAAGGCGGACACAGAATCCTTGGGTGTGTGCATGTCCTGTCCGTCCGAACAAAATAAAATCACAAACTCAACACAAGGACGTTGATCTAGATGCTTTTCAGCAACAATTTTTCCAACCTCCGCCTATTGTTGAGACGGTCAACTATGACATCCAATTAAGTGATCCAGATGGCGGACGTGTTGAAGTCATGCCAGAAACGCACCTTCCGGACCCAACCATTCCATCTGAGCGCGAAATTGAGGAAATGTATGTAGCACAACAAAACGCTCAATATCAGGAAGAAGGTGAATGGATAGACGGTTCAGATACAGAAGAAGATACTGTATATGTAGAAAATGACGATTCTGATAGCGAATAATTGTGCTGTTGTAATTTCAATTTTATTGACTTCTAATATTTGTGCAGATTCCTTCATCATTATATTACTCCAACAATATTTGAATTTTTTTCTATCTTTATCATTATTATTTATGAACAAAAAATTACTCCATATTAATTCAACCACAACAAGTTTTTTATATCCATATTATAAATTCAAAATAAAATTTTTCACAATTCGAAGTTTGAAAATTTAAATTTACCCAATACCAAATATGAAATTACTCTATATTATATTCTTTTATTTTCAAATTCGAAAATTCAAATATTATTTTTGATTTTTCTAAATTCGAAAATTTATTTTAATAATTTTTAATAATTCGAAATTCGAAAATTAATTTTAATAATTCTAAGTCTATTCGAAAATTAACAAAATTCGAAAATTAAAAAAAAAGTAATTTACTTTTACTAATCTGAATATTATAATAAATTTAGATATTAATAAACAACTAACAGAGATTTATTTATCAAATTTCAAAGATAAATACAAAACACACAATGAAATTGTCACATATTATTTATCAAACAACTAACATAGATTTATTTATCACATTAACCTAACTAACATTATTCATTCCTCAATCGGAAACTTTCAAGAGGCCTAGCCCACAACTCCTGAATTTTCATTCGAGCTTCTTCGTTGATCGGGTCCATATACTCTGAAACTTCTTGTGCACGTTGAAGCATCCGACACAAATTTCTTGCTTTTGACTTGCCCAACGAGTCGGATTCTTCATCTTTATAATCGCCAAAACTTTCAAGGGGTCTAGACATCAACTCCTTGATTCTCTCGTATGCTTCCACGGTTTTCGGCTCCATAAGCTCTGTAATCAGCTTAAGTCGTTTCATATCTCTACACATCGAATCCCAGTCAATTGGACCTCTATTAGCCATTTTTTTTACAGTTCACTCTTGGGCCGGAGAAAGATGATTTATACAAAAAAAATTCAAGTTGTCACGGTCTTAGTCACGGATAATTCCGTGACTAACCTGTCAGTCTGGCAGCCGGAGAAGTGTCAGGGCCGCCGGTCTAGTCACGGTTTTATCCGTGACTAGAACCGTGACTAAATTCAAAATTTGAATTAGTCACGGTCTTAGTCACGGATAAAACCGTGACTAAACCGGTCAAAGGCGGCTAATGCCGCGTGGCTGATTTCGCTGAATACGAAGGGTTTAGTCACGGCTATATCCGTGACTAAGACCGTGACTACTTCGTCATATAAAACTAACACTTAGCGATTTTTTTCAAACCTACGCTTCCAAACCCTATTTTCCTCTCAAACTCTTACCCTTCTAACTTCCCCTTCCACCGCCGCCGTCCTGAGTGCAGCGCCGCCGCCGTCCTGAGTGCAGCGCCGCCGCCGTCCTCCGTGCACTGCCGTTGTCCGCCGCTGGTTGCCACCGTTCACCGCCACCGTCCACCACTCCTTTTTTTTCGCACCTCTCTCTCCACATCAAGGTTATGTTTTCTCAATTAATTTTTTACACACAAATGCATGTTTATGTACTCAAATGCATGTTTATAATTGAATGCCCTAATGATGTATTCTACAATTACATATTTATGTGTATATACATTTAATATGATTATGTGTATATGTGTTTACGTTTATACACACAAATGCATGTTATTATTATGTTCGCATTACAATATTAATTTAGTAATATTGTAATATTAATTTCACATTACAATATTAATTTGCATGCTCAATATTAATCTCTCCACGATTATTAGTTTTGTTTTAATTTCGAATTACAATATTAATTTGCATGCTCAAAGTTGATAAAATTTATTTTTTCTTTTTTGTTTGATTTCTAATACGCATGCTTTAGATATAGTTTGATTCAATTTGATTTTTTGTGTATAAGTTTAATATGCATGCCTAAATATGATTTAATTTTAGGTTAAACAACATGCATGTTTTTTCGATCAAATGCATGATTTAATTTCGGACTTATGCATGAATTATTTAGACATTGTTAGGATTATTATTATTTTATCATCAATCAAATTTATTATTTCCGAATTATTTAAAAAATACCCCCTCATGTCAAAGTTCCAAAAAAAGTTTAACATGTTAATTATAAAATATTAATTTAGACATTAAAAACTATTTTCCGAAATAAAATATAAAATATATATTATAAAAAACAGTTTAATAATATACTGTTTTTTATTAAACAGTTTAATGAAAAACAGTTTGACAAAAAAAACAGTTTAAAAAAAAACAGTTTGATAAAAAACAATTTAATAAAAAACAGTTTAAAAAACAGTATAATATTAACAGATTGCAATCAAATAAAATCAGATTTTAATAAAAAACAATAAAAACTGCTTTCCAAAATAAAATATAAAATATAGATTATAAAAACAGTTTAATAGATAACTTATTTTTAAACCGTTTAATAAAAACTTTTTTTATTAAAAAGTGAAATATTAATCATTTTTGAAGTTTAAAACAATCTGTTTTTCATTTTTTATGAAAAACAGATTTTTTATTCAACAATTTTTATTAAAAAGTGAAATAATAAAAAAACAGTTTTTAATAAAACTGTTTATATAAAACTGTTTTTATATAAAACTGTTTTTATAAAACTTTTTTATATAAAACTTTTTTTGTTTAATTTTTTTTTTATATACACTGTTTTTTTATAAAACTTTTTTTAAATAAAACAGTTTTATATAAAAACAGTTTTGTATAAAAACGGTTTTGTATATAAACGGTTTTATAAAACATAGTACGAAAAGTTAAAAAATAGTACGAAAATTCAAAAAAATATATTTTTAACATGTACGAAAATAAATGTTTTACACATTTTTAATTGATAAAACTTGTATAAAAATTTGATCTTCTATTATGATCATACTAACATTCAAAAATATCCCCTCATGTTAAACTTCCAAAAAAGTTTAACATGTTAATTATAAAATATTAATTAAGACAATCGAAACTGTTTTTCGAAGTTAAATATAAAATATAGATTATTAAAAACACATTAACAATATACTGTTTTTTTATTAAACAGTTTAATGAAAAACAGTTTGATAAAAAACAGTTTAATAAAAAAAAAAAATTAAACTTGCCTAAAGTTTAACATGTTACATTTTATAACAATTTATAAAATTACCACCCCTCATATTAAACTTACACACAGTTTAATATGTTTTACACATTTTCAATTAATAAATGTATAAAAATTTGATCTTCTATAATGATTAGACTAATATTTAAAAATATAAATTAATATATTTTAGATGAGCAATGAACAATCAACCTCGCGTACCCGCCCAAACTATGTGCCCTTAACCGAAGCTGAGCGCAACAATGAAAACGCGCTTTGGGTGACGCCCCACATGGTTGCGAAGTAAGTAACTATGAATTTTATCTAACGTGAAATAATTTTTTCAATGTATCATAATGTAATCAAAACTTTAATAAATAAATAATCTTAATTTTCTGAAGCGATCAAGAAGTGTTGGACCAAATCAAAGTCATAATTGGAGGACACTTTCTTGGAAACTGGGCAGCATACACAGAAGTAGACCCCAAGGTTCGTGAACTTTGGTGGAACCTTTTCAAGGTAAAAAAATGAATTTTCTCTGCGTAATTGTATTAACGTAACATTTAATAAAAGATAAATTAATTTAATTGTTTTTTATAAAGGGTCGGTTTCGATGGACTGAAGCCCAAGGTCCAGCTATTCTTAGAGCGTATAACGCTAGGATTTCAAATTGGCTTCGTCCTACTTTTAGGCGTGCCCGAACGAGCGGGGTAAAGCCTGGATGGTGTTCGGATGAGGTGTGGGCTAACCTCGTCCGTCACTGGTCTTCTGATCCAAACTTCTTGGCAAGAAGTCAATCCGGTAAGAAAAACCGGATGTCCGAGAAAGCCTTAGAAACCCAATGGCATGGGGGCCGCAAACCTCAGAGTAGACATAAGGAAGATCTTGTAAGTATTTTTCAAAAAACTTTACACAATTACAACCCTTTATTTTAACAATTAATTATGGATCTTAAGCCTTTTTTCCAAATTGTAGTCGGGGCCTGAGAAGAAGAAGGTCTCAATTCTCAAGGTCATCAAGCACTGCTGGACAAAGCACGGCGATGAGTCCGATGCCGATCTGCCACCCCGCCTCGCTGAAATCGAAGTAAGTAACACTATTTTGTTACTTATTTCCATTCAAAATCAAATTGAGTAACATTAAATTAACAATTTTTGTACATGTAGTCAAAGTATAACACAAATGTTGAGAAGAGGCGGGCAGAATTAGGCTTGACTCAGGAGGATGAGATTGATTCTGATGTGGAGGATGATGCCATCTTTGAGGCAGTTGGGGTGTACAAGGGCCGGGTCCCGTGCATGGGGGCTGAGGGGCAACGGATCTTGTACGACCGCAGCGGTGCTTCATCTTCCCGATCAAGGCGCGGAGAGGATCCGCGTATCGCTCAAATGCAGCGGGAGATGGAGGAGCAGCAGCGGGCCTTGGCTGAGCAGCAGCGCGCCTTGGAGGAGCAACGCAAAAAAGATGAAGAAACAAGGGCCCGGCTGGAAGAGATGGAACGGATCCTCAGCGCCGGAATTCGGAATCAGCCTCAGCCTCAGCCGTATGTACTGCACCCCGAGCAGACACCTCAAGTTCCGCACATGGGCGGTTATTTCCGTACCAACTCTGCTACCGGGTTGCCTTCATTTGGTTCTATTCAGGATATCAATTTTCACAACCTGTTTCAAACATCTGGAGGCAGCCAAGCAGGTGGCAGTCGCGGAGGTGGCAGTCGCGGAGGAGGCAGTCGCGGTGGCAATCGAGAAGGCCAAGCTGGAGACAACCGAGAAGATGAGACCGAAGAAGATTACCTATATGATGATTCTAGATATTATCATAATGGTAACCGGAGGAGCTTGTAAATGATATACATTTTTATTTGAACATTGTTTATTTACTATAATTCTATTGTGCTTATTATTACTTTTATTTCAGTCTGTTTGGTTATGAAATGTGTGTTCTAGTAGTCGTTTATTACTTTTATTCTACAAATATTTTTTAAAATAAACTTTTCTAAAGAATAATTAAAAAAAAAATTATTTTTTTTATAAAACAAAAAAACTTTTTTTTTAAAAAAAAAAAACTTTAGTCACGGATCCGAGCCGTGACTAAATTCTAGACCGATTTTAAAAAAGTTATATAAAATTTCAAATTTAATTTTTTTTTTAAAAATGAAAAAGTAGTCACGGATCAAGTCCGTGACTAAAATTTGAAATTTGAAAATTTAAACCGTAACATTTGGCGGTTCATTTTTTTAAATTTGAAAGTTTAGTCACGGATTTGTCCGTGACTATATTAGTCACGGAAAAGGCCCGTGACTAAGTCGCCGGTGTGGTTATTCCGGTGACAAGTTAGTCACGGAAACGGTCCGTGACTAAGCCGTGACTACGCTAAGTCACGGATAAAATGACCGTGACTAGAATTAGTCACGCCCAAACAGTCACGGATTTAGTCACGGACAAAGTCCGTGACTAGCGGAGTTAGTCACGGATTTTTTATACTACGGTCCGTGACTAAATCCGTGACTAACTCCGTGTTTTTTTGTAGTGTTCACATGGTATCTGAGTCAAGTCCGGTTGTGGTTTGACGGCTTGAATTGTTAGCACCCATGATTAATGGTAGCTTGTTAAGGGTTTGTTTGGCTCATTTATACACCCCGATATTGTCAAGCTCGGTTCGGGCTGAGGAAGCGTGTTAAAGTGTTTTTTCCATACAAGAAAGCTATAAAACAATAACACACTATATAAGACTTTGAGCAACTCTTATCAGGTTGACCTTTTAGAACGAAGTCCTACAAATAACGATAATAATGCATACAGGCTTATGCTGTTATTTTACTTTCCAATTATGCATATCATATTCCAACTATAAGTAAAGATATCTTTCTATTATATTTTTTAAGTTTTTATAATTTGTGTCATGATTATATTTATTGTCCATCTGAACCCATGTTTACTTTTTTGTTAAAATCAATAATACTCTAATAAAATAAAGATTTTTTACTTGACTGGGATTGCATTGTCAGTAATATCAAATTATAAATGTATTTATTTTTAATTTACGAATTGAATCTTTTATATATAGGGTGCATATATATCAAATAAAAAGATGTCTTAACATATGAAAAGGAGTATATTCTCTATGTACTCCTTTATTTGATCTTAACCGCAGAGGTCGAGACTTCGTATGAAGATTATGGACTTAGACGTTTCAGCATTTGTATTCCACATACATGTGGGATTACGTCACTAACGCGACCATTTCACCTTTTTCACATACTTGGATTCCACATGCATCTCGTATTACGTCACGTACTGTATGAGTAATCATTTCGCCTTTTTCACACACTAACATCTCCTTTTATGTGATCTTAACCCTTTTAAAATATAAATATATAAGCCCGATTAGCAATTCCCTATTTTTAGCTCATTTGTCAATTTTTTACCAAATACATAATTTTTGATGCATCGCGCTAAGTTGTGCAATAATCAAAATATGCAAGATTGGAATTTCTTTTTCAGCTGAAATGATAGTAGAGTGCTATGATAGCTATTTTCACATAATTTGTATTTATTTTATTAACTATATATATATATATATATATATATATATATATGTATATATTAAATATAAGTTTTACATAATTCAGTAGATTCTGCCAATTCCGTCACTTCAGTCTCAATTTCATCAATTTCAGCAAATTCAGTTGATTCAGCTAATTAATTTCAGTATTACCAAACAAGATCCATCTATATACGTTGACCACGTTGACCGGTCATTAATAAGGATGACCCGCTGAGTTGGAGTCGACCCTTGACCCGGTCATCTCTCCGGGTCACTTCCCAGTCCAGTTTTTACAACATAGGTCTTGACAACCTCCAACTTGATATTTGGCAGAGGTGCTATGAGATATTCAACTCAACAACGTTCAAGTTTGACTATGAGTATATGTGCTTTCATTATGTAGTTAAATTTAAAGTTATGACATGGTCTCATTCTTTCACATGAGGTCTCGAGAAAAACTTGCAAATTAAAATGGAGAAGCAAGTTATGATAAAACTAGGCCTGGGATAAAATCATATGTGAAATAATACATGCATGACAATGTAAGACTTCAGTCTTCAATTTAAGGTCATTACCACCAGAAAGTACACTTTGCGGCAGAAAATCCTTTCATTACGTTTCAACGAATGCATGTTCAAATAAAAAAAATCTACTTCTATGTCTTTTTTAACAATAAGAGTATAATTTATTTGTTGGTTTCTCGACATTTTTATGTGTTGTAGTTTTTTGCATATTTCTTTGCAGTTAATGGACTGTTTTTTTGCGATTTCAGTTTTCTAGGCGTACGGAAACATTTTTGAAAAATTATTACGTACTTTGCAATATGTTTTTGAAAATTTTCCCGCAGTTTTTTGTTGTGTTGTAGTTTTTGTATGGTTGCGGTTTTTCTTGCATGTTTCTTTAGCAGCTTCCTTGTTGGGCTGCAGTTTTTTGTTTCGGGCTTTTAGTTTTTAGTTTATTTTTAATTTGTATGTATATCCATTTTGTAAATGATGTTATCCAAATTTTTATTGAGTGATTTAGAATACTATGTCAATACACTATATCAAATTCATGATATGCTAAAAATTTCAAAAATTAAGGAAAAATTACTCAAACTTGAATAGTTAATCTAATTAGTTATATTAATAATTGAATATATGTATTAAAATTCTATATATAAAGAAGACATTGATAATCTGTCATGCATCTCATTCTAATATATATTCATATATTATAAGATCAAAGAATTTATGATTTATTGTATACACACATATGTATGTTGAAGTATATTTGTAGTATAATTTAAGAAAAGTATATATACTTATATATTGAACGGGGCGGGCCGGGGCGGGGCGGCACGGGTCAATTCTAATACTCGGACCCGCCCCATTGTATAGGCGGGGCGGGGCGGGGCGGACCCGCCCCATTTGCAAGACGGGGCGGGGCGGACCCGCCTTAAATGTCTCGGGCCAGGGCGGGTCATTGCGGGTCGGTTTTTTTTTACATCCCTAGCTTTACTATGTGTTTTAAACTGGATTTGCTCTTCCTAAGCTTGTGGTCTCTTGTTGTAATTGTTTTTGAACATTAATATTTGCAGTTCATCTACTAGTGCTCGAAGAAGTACCCTATAGTCGAAATCCCCCAGCAAGTAAAATGTCATCAATCCAGGTTTTGAAAATGCTGATATCCAAGAAGCATCATTCTAAAAATCCAGATTTTAACAATAATAAATACATATGTATCTGACTAGATATTTATTATCTACTGTTATGTTGTTCTTAGTTCAATTTCATTGTTGCTACTAGAAAAAAGAGTACAATTCGCAAACAGAAGTTCATATAGAATTGACGATTTTTTCACATTCGTTTTTTCAAAAGTAGGCCACTAGGCGGCTAGGCCTAGCCTTAAAGTGGGCTTCTTGAAATGGCATTTCCTTGTGGTCCATCGCTGGACCCATTTATAACGACTATAGCTTGCACTTTCATTTCCTTGTGGTCCACCCACATGTAAAGTTTAATACTCTAATTTTACTATTGAATAATGAAAAGTTCAAAAGGAATTCTAATTTATTTTTATTTTTCCCAAAAGGAAAAGAACAAAATTGTGGAGTAAATATTGGGAGTCTTTCATGATACTTTCTGTACGTGTCGAGTTCTTTAGGAATTTTAATTTAGTGGCATCAGGAAAAACTCAAAGAATGAAGGAATGTGATCCACCAAAGAAGTTTCTTCATTTTTAAGCATGTTAATGGGGCGGGGTGGTTTAAGATTTTTTTTACTTTGATTGTAATCTGTCCCAGATCAGACCAGACTTGGATAGTTATAAAAATACAAATAAACCAGACCAGATCAGACCACAC